GTATGAGCCAAATTGCAAAGCCGAGCAAATTCGACATGTGCAGTGTGGGAGATCTTTCTCATCCCCAAACAGGAAAACCCATAAGGAAAAGACTTGTGGTCCTGACAACATCCAAAGAACTACACATGATGTTGCATTTTCGCTACTGTCAGGGAGATCATGAACACCATCAGATTGCAGGACATGTTCGAGATCCTGAAACGTCTAAGAGCATTCAACTGTCGTCGTTCACTGAACGATATCCAAGAAAGTTCGCAAGACAGGTAGTCGCATGTCTAAATCGAGAGCATCAAAGACCCCAATGGACCTTAGTCGAAGAAACGAGTTTGGGAGATGATCACCCCACAAAGAGGAGAAGATTGGGTCAAAAGACTTCAATAGATCTCATCAACCCAACATGGGAAACCATCATGCAGGAAGCAAATCGTCTCGCAAAACGAGTAGGGCCTTCAGTCATCCAGAATGGTCCCATAATCGATGCAGTAGCAGCCATGATTCCTGACAAGGAGGTCTCCCACCTTGTTCTTTGCCGAGGCGTAGACCGAATGCTAGGTCCACTGAAAGTCATGCATCCCGGAGAGGGCCCTCTCCGCAAGATGATCTGCATTAGGAGAAGATTCGAGGATGTGGTAATTGAACCAGAATGGGAAAACTGGGAAAGAATGTCCTATAGGAGACTCAGGCACAAGTGTACACCAGCCCGAGTAAGCCTGACGGTTTTTGCCAAGCCTCGAATCGGGTATTCGGCCGGATTGGAAAATCCATCTCATCTGAATCCGGATGATTCAGAAGCGACGACTCGAGAGTCCCAGAAGAGACTGCCACAGTCAGCCGACGTCGACAGTGAACCGCCTGCAAAGAGAAGATCTGTTGATAATGAAAACCAAGAAAGCTCAATTCGCGAAGATTCGACTAGCTCGATGCGAGAAATGATGGATCTCGCAAGTCATAAACATGGCCCCAAATTCTTAGAGTTGAAAGCCGAAGATCAACAGTGGCTACTGAAACTGCATAAGAACCTCGGACATCCTGGTAGTATGAAGCTCCAAACCTTTTGCAAACACATGAACTGTCAGCCATACGTCCTTGAAGCCATACCAGACATGAAGTGCTCAACATGTACCGAATGCAAGAGTCAAAACATCCCAAGACCATCCGTCATTCATGAAGAAAGAGACTTTGGTGATGTTGTCTCCATGGACGGAGTCACGTGGACCAACAAGAATGGCAAAACATTTCATGTTTACCACTTCGTAGACCACAGCACCACGTTCCAGACAGCAATCTGTTCACCGTCGAGAACGACTGACGGTGCACTGCGAGCCCTAACCATGGGCTGGATCAGCTGGGGAGGACCACCAGGTCTTTTGTGCCTTGATTCGGCCGGTGAGTTCTGCAATGAGGAGTTTCTGAACTTCATGCAGAAACACAACATCAAAGTTCGCATGATTCCACCAGAAGCCTCATGGCAAAATTCCAGAGCTGAGAGGCATGGAGGCATTCTCCAAGAAATGCTCAGCCGAATGGACCAAGATGAAAGCATAGATGACTATGACAAACTAGAACAAAACTTGGCCATTTGTACTCAAACGAAGAACTGCTGGAGTAGACATAGAGGATACCCACCTGAGATGCTAGTCTTTGGAAAGCTTCGTAAGTTCCCAGGATCAATAAGTAGTGACTCAGAGACCTCAGCACACCTGCAAGCCACAGAAGAAACACCTGAAGGGATTCGCTTTCGAAAAGAACTCGAGGTCCGAGAAAAGGCCAGGAAAGCATTCGCACAAGTCGACAATAGCCAGACCCTTCGGCGTGCACTCGTGCAAAGGTCTCGACCAGCCAGAAGTAGATACTACCCGGGGGAATGGATCATGATCTGGAGAAAAGACGGTAGATGGATGGGACCCTTTAAGACAATCATTCAAGAAGGTTCAAATACTATTTGGGCAAGTCGGGGCCATCAACTGTTTCGTGCGTCACCAGAACAAGTCAGACATCTATCAGCCGTTGAAGAAGTACAATACCAAAATGAAAAACGAGAAATGATCTCCAGTGAAAAAGATCCTCAACAGATTTCCAGAAATTTTCAGGACCTTTGACTACCAGAATCAGAGAGCATTCCGACCGAACCGATATCCTCGGAATCGGGAAGAGAGAACAATTCAAATACTCCGGAGTCAAACACCAGTGAACAACCCGATAATGAACCAGAGATACGGTCAAGATCAGAACAAAACAAAGCACAAAATCCTGAAATGCCAGAGAACCGGAACCCTGAAGACATTCCAGTACCTTCAGATGATGAACTGCTTTGTGAAGCTTTTTCGTTAGAAACTGAACAATATTGGGAAATCAGCTTCAATCTCACAGATCAGGAAATAGGACAACTTGCTGGTGCCGAAAATCAGGAAGAATGCATAACACTTTTGGTGACAAATGCAAAGCGGCAAAAGGTTGAAGTGAAGATGTCAAACCTGAGTCCAGCCGACCGTGCCCGTTTTGACAATGCAAAAGGAAAAGAAATCGATAGCTGGTTAGAAACCCAAACAGTGGCTAAAATCGCCCGACATCGAATTCCTCCAGAGAACATCCTGAAATGTCGATGGGTTTTGACATGGAAGAACAGTGAGACAAACGAACATTTGTCGAACACCAGCTCAAATCAAAATAGAATACCAAAGGCAAGGTTGGTAGTCTTAGGATTCATGGATCCGAAATTACACGAGATCCAGAGAGACTCACCCACTTTGACAAAATTGGGCCGTTCGCTGATACTCCAGCTATCTGCAGCAAACTCATGGCGTATCTCCTCGTTCGACGTGAAAACTGCCTTTTTGAGAGGTACTGCCGATCAAGAAAGACTGCTTGGACTAGAACCGGTTCCAGAATTTCAAAGCAAGCTGCAAATGCGCCAAGGTGAAGTACTCCAACTTCTAAAGGGAGCTTATGGTCGCGCCGATGCCCCTCTGTTATGGTTCCGTGAAATCAGAAAAGGGTTGCTTGACCTTGATCTCAAACAATGTCCCATGGACCCATGTGTGTTCACTTTGACCGACCCAGAAGGGAAAACATGTGGAGCAATCGGTCTACATGTAGACGACGGCATTTTTGGAGGAAATCACCTGTTCGAAGCAAAGCTGATTGAATTGTCAAAGAAATATCCTTTTGGATCACGCAAGCATACCGGCTTCGTGTTTACAGGAATTCATGTAAGTCAAGGGTCAGACATGACAATATCATTAGATCAGTCCCAATATGTCAAAGAAATAGAGCCTATAAAGTTGACCCCTGCTCGCAGAAAACAACAAGAAGACCTGATCACCGAAGAGGAACGCCAGAGTCTTCGTGCAGTCATAGGCAGCCTATTGTACGCAGCAGTCAACACAAGACCTGACCTGTGCAGCCGATTGGGCCAGCTCCAGACTAGGATCAACAATGGCCAGGTCACTGACCTTCTTGAAGCAAATCGTGTCCTACACGAAGCAAAACAGTATGCAGATACAAAGATAGCATTCCAACCAATACCCATCAGTGAAACCCGTTTTCTTTCATTCTCAGATGCCTCCTTTGCCTCAAACAAGAACGATAGTTCTCATCAAGGGTTGCTCATCATGCCCTGCCAAAGACAACTAGAAGATAATCAACAAAGCAGAGTCAACCCCATAATCTGGGCATCGAGGAAAATTCAGAAAGTAGCAGTAAGTACCCTGTCTGCGGAATCCATGTCACTAGCTGGTGCTATAGATACTCTTGAATGGGTTCGCCTATTCTGGGCATGGATAGTTGATTCAACATGCGCATGGAGACTTGGAGACAAGACATTGACTAGACTTCCACCAGCGTTCTCACTAGTCAAAGATACAGAATTACACGATCCAAACGAAACGATGTGCCAAACCAAAGAACTCCTTGACAAAGTCCAGCCAGAGAAGTCAATCATGGCCACGGACTGTAAAAGCTTGTATGATCTTGCGAGTCGCACTGCGACACCATCATGCTCTGAGTTTAGAACATTGCTACAGGCCAAATTGATCAAAGAGCACATCGAGACCGGAATCTGCTTGAGATGGGTTCCTTCGGGAGCTCAGATCGCGGACTCGTTAACAAAAATCATGGACAACACGATCCTAAGAGAGGTACTTCGAATTGGAAAGTATAAATTCCAAGATGAATCCGAACTCCTCAAACAAAGAGCCGACACTAGAACCAGACTAAAATGGCTCAGATCGAATGCACAGATCTTCGATGATGGAAAAGCCAAGACGTCCACATCGAAGTGAGAGCTGCCAGGGCTTTTTCGAGAGGGGCACTCTGGAGTGAGTGTACTGCAAAGACTTGAGAAAGTGCATAGTGTAACTATGACTAATGGGGAAAGTCTTTTTTGCAAGAAACAAGCCTTAAGGTAAAAAAATATCACCCGCCTTAATTCATAGAAGCCAGATGCCTTTTGTGTTCGTGCATGTTTTTGCCATCCAACCAAACCTTGAGAATCCGCACGCGGTCAACATGCTGAGACCACTTAAAGAAAATAAGTTGTATGTCGAAATGAACCAGGTCGCATGTTGCCCTTTTCGATCTTGCCGATGTTCCGCTGTCGCATCTCTCGAGCGAGGGCGGGTGTGGTGAGGATTCGCTTGTGCCATGGTCTGAGGAAAAGGCTGCGAGGTGGACTTGGGCTCTTGTGGATAAGAGCAACCGAATTTCGAGGGTGAGGACACCCTATTCTTTTGGTGTGGACACCATTGGTTGTTGAGGTACATTGAAAGGTGAACCTTGTCTTCATTGGAGTGGTCTCCAACCAGTTTTGGTTGAACCTCGTGGGCGAGGAAGCTACCAATCCTTTTGTGAATATTTACCAAAATACAGTGTGTATATATATATATATGAAAAACATTGAAACACAATATATATATATACTGTATACATATGTGTGAAAAAACAACAACAATAAAACACTTGGAACTGAATAACCCATGTAGAGGCAGATCAACTCCTCGGCCATGCGCGTGGTTGGCCTAGTGAGTGGTGGCAAGGACAGCGGCAACTGATGTAGAGTGGTCCCCGGGTCTAGATGACTGTGGCACGGTTTTCTGTCTACATGTTCTAAATACATGGGGATCTACGAACTTCTATCTATGACAGGGGGTCTATGGAACAGCCCGAGATCTCATTTTTTCACACCACTCAGATGCAATACATCCCTGGAATGTCTTCAGCCATAGGACTCCATTTGGAATTTGCACTACTGAGCTGCTGGCATGTCTTGGATGGTAAGGAACTATCGCTCGCGCTGATGTGGGCTGATGTGTCGGAGTTGCGCAGTGGAATCAAAGGGAGCACCATGTTTTAATCAGGTTCACTGTGTGTTCCTTTTACTGTACAGTAAGTTGTTTGACGTAATAACGGTCTTTTCTATTGGATTCACTGTGTGTTTTTTTAATAGCAGGTTCAACAAATGGATTCACTTTGTTTATTGAATTGTGTGGTCACTCTGTTGACAGATCATTCAGCTATGACGTGGCGTATCTCAATTACCCGCGACAAAGGTGTTCTCCATTTCCTGACGTTTTGGCCCAGCCCGGCTGCCACAGGGGTTTATGAACCAGTTAACTTTGCCCAGCATTGAGAAAAAATTGAGGTTCCCCTTCTATTTGGATGAAAGCGTACCACGACCGTGTACCTCCTGAACACCTTAAGAGCATCGCAGGAATCATCGCGCCCTGATAGTTTGTGTTTTGTTTTGGCGCTCGGAATACATCAGCGAAACCACATTCGATGTACATCAGTTGACTCAGTAGTTGACTCGTCACTTGACCAAGCGTGGGTCGTTGCTCTACAGATTCTGGAGCAACGTCAAGGTGGAGGTTCCTGGAATTCCAGTGCAATATATGCCACTAGATCCCCTCACACATAAATAGATAGCCTATATGTGACAGGATGCACCATCCATCAACATGATGCTGACATGTCTGGAACACTTCCAATGGGATTTCTTGGAGTATAACAATCACTTGCATTGGGGGTTGCACCGAAGTGCTTCGCACTTGGTATGTTACTTTGCGTTCCCTTCCCATGTGGCCCACCAGCGTGTGTTCACGGCCAGGTCACCACTTGAAGCATGAGATTTGTTGCTTGGCGCATTTGGCGCCTCCAGAAGGAGTCCTCGAGATGGATTCCTACATGTACCAAACAGCTCCTCGGTCTCTGAAGGCGCGACCGTTGACCGAGCGACCTGGTGGCGGTCGAACGAGTTTTCGCGGCCGTGGACGACCGGACTGGGCTCGGGGGCTCCAGGTTTTTGGACAGTCAGATGCCCAGGTGGCTTGATAAGATCGATGTCTGGCCATTTGGGAATTGAGCCAAGGGAGTAAGTCCAAACCGATATGGAGTTGCTTTTGGCTCTTGGTCGATGACTTTGGATGGAGTCGCCTGGGAGTTGGTTGAAGAGTTAGAAGGACACATGTAGAACAACCCTCGATGATCCTCAACGACCACAAATATCTCATAATGATCCATATAATAAACTGATCCAATCTGATCAAACATGGACGCTCAGGTCTTGTTTTGAAGGCAGCTCTTTCTTGTTGTGAATCCTTACGACCCCTTTTTTTGTCCTTTGACAATGTAAAGGAGATGTTTCAACTTGTCATTACTGTAGTTGGACTGGGTTAAAAGTCGTCAAGGCAACACATGGACCACCTCTTCTTGTGAATCCTCCCGTGACTTCAGCACCCAGGTAGGCTCTGAGTTGGTCACCTCTATCGCGGAGGCGTCACGTTGGTCACGCATGATGCTTGCGGTCAATGAATCAAAGTGTTGGGAACACCTTTTCTTTGGGGCGCATGCTACTTGCAGGTATACTATATATATAAAGTTATATACACCTCTATATAACACTACCATAGTTAAAGTTGCAAAATTGTTCGTTTTGTTGGGAGTAGCACCATTTGTTTCCCGCATGCATTGTGGGCGGACAATAGCAGATAGGATCTGATAAGATAGTTCCTTTTTGATGTGATGGATGGGACATCAAATTGGCCTATAGGGGATGCTAACAGTGGGTTGCTTCAAGATCACATTGGTGTGGTATGAAACACTACACCTAAAGTATAAGCTTGTTTCATGATCACATCACTTTAGCCCTATAGGTACTTTGAGCACCTGATGATGTTCTTAGCTGTGGTATTGCTTCGGTCATTCGGCTGCATCATTGGGGTCCAAAAGGTGTGGTATTGGTGGTGTATCAAGCGTTCAACAGCAGGCAGAATTGATTCATGCATGCAAATCATCTAACAAATCAAGCTCATATTTTATTCAACTGCAGTCCCACCGTTTGCATGTATATATATATATATATGTGTGTGTGGGTGTGCTGTGAACCAGCAGAATAGGTTGATATTAAACTAACCATGAAGCCAGTCAATAAGCATGACTCGTCGTTCGGCAATATATATATATATACTGTATAATATATTGCCTTCACGTTTGATCTTGAAGCTGATATGACTTAGTATGCATATATGTGTATCCTTACGTCACTCACCCTGGTCACTTACCGGCCCTGGTCGACCGGTGGCGCTGCAGGCCATGGGCTTACCTCTCGTGCGGCGCTGCATCGCCGGCGCGCCGAAGCGCTTGGACTCCGCGGAGTATGCGACTCGGAGTGACTCCGGGGGAGAAGGTGAAAGGCCCAAGGGTGGGTATATAGTAAATACTCGAAGTACATACTCTTGGTGCAACTGATTCTATCTCCATCCATCGGCCTATTGGTCGGTTTGGTGTTCCGGCCCGGAGTTGGAGGGAAAGTGGGACACGACACGCCACGACAAGGAGGTGTGGGTTTTGACTGGGTTGGACTGGGTATGCTTTATAGGCGACTGGAGGGTGAAAGTGCGGTAGAGGCTAGGACTGGGACCTGTTTTGGATCAGGGGTCGAAACAGCATTCGACATAGATTGACATGGTGCTATGTGAGAATCTTTGTTGCAGGTAGTGCATTCCATTGAATCTAGGCAAGTCTTAGAGTTGTTATGAATTGTGAACCAAGAAGGCAAGTGAACCTGGAGGAATAACAGTCCTGACATTTACTCACATACTTGCAATCAGGTCTTGCTAGGAATCCCCAACATCAGTGGACATAATGTGAACCAGCACTTCAAACTTACAAACTTCTTCAGCTTTCTCCAAACTGAGGCCCCAGAGGAAGGCGATGAGGTGGACTAGACGGATCAGGGATCGGAGTTGGAGAAGTTGGGAGAGTTTCTTAGATCCCTGGTCCAACACATTGAGCATTTGAGAGTTGGAGAAGTTGGGCAAGACACATCCAAGTTGTTTTGTTTTCATTGGGTTGGATGCGTTTTTTGCTGCGCTGCAACAATGTCAAGCTCGGGGCGATGTGATTTTGTACATGCTGCAGCTGATGAGAATCAATTTCCACAGCCATGAATTCCGGCATGATGCAATGCCAAGATGGAGGTGTGGAAAGTTTCTGCAAACACATCCTACGGCCATCTAGATTTCAAGTATAATTAGTTGAACCAGGATCGAGAAACGTTCAACCGATTTTAGGCCTGATATGTTTGTTACTTTGGTGGCAACAAGAGCTGCTACAACCAACTAGATCAAACTGTTTGGCTGGCTGTAGCAGCTGTTCAAATCATTATTCCTCACCTCTAGTTTTTGATTGTATGTGATATTAATTAATGTTGTCGGATCTATCTATGTACTGTATATATAAATATCATCCCACAACCGTTTGTAGCGTCAAGCAAGAGGATCACGGTCAGCCCAGTGATGCTTGAGACATCAGCGATATCACTCCACGCCTTCCACGCCCTCCACGAGACGGCTTTTCAGAAGTGCATCGCCCGATGGATGGCTCCCGAAGTGCATCATACCTTGTCCCCCGGGCGCTTGGTCATCAATGTCACAGGCATCGACCATGCGCGCCTCTCGGCCAAGAAGGTATGACCGGACGTCTCGACCCCGTCTCCATGGTGGAGCCCTCCAGCTGCGGGGGAAATGAGAAATACCTGGTGAGTTGAGGATCTCCTTCCAATTTATATACTGTACAGTGGTTAGCAGGACTGCAAGTCTTTCGCGAACAGTCCGCCATTCACTTGAGTACTCATGGAAGGGATGCCGCTGCCATAGAGATGTAATCAGTTGCATGTCCATGTGTAGAAGATTGTCCACGGTCTTACCTTTGCCTTTTTTTAACAGGCCCCTCGTCCCTCGGATGAGGCCGGCCTCGCCGGCCTTGCTGAAGATCAATGACTCATCTCGTGACCGAAAACACCTGCAAATGAACAACAACGGCCTACCCATGTCCGTGTAGTTCAAGTCTAAAGTCTGACTGGGATTCCAACTACCCATTTTCACAAATGAGGCCCTTTGATTCTCAAACATTTAAGTGACTTAGCAGCTCGGAGCTTTACCCCAATCGCCAGGCCTACACAACACTTAGCGCTGTACGCTTTTCATGACTGCTAAAGAAATGTGTTCCTGAGTCTCGCAATGAATTCAGAATTGATACATGCCCCATCAGGCCCCTGTAAAAAGACCAAGAGCATGTTATTATACAGTATCTTATTACAATATAGTATATCCGGAGCCCTTTGAGCCCTTTTTTTTGTGGGGGTACTAAGATCCTCCAACTCAGCATTTGGTGAACCCAAAGTCGGGAGGCATCTCTTTAAGCACCCTTCTGCAGCAGAAACATCATGAAAGTCGGGTCTGCCGGGTTCTGCCGGGTTCCACCGGTGGCAGAAGCCGGCAGGTGGAACCAACTCCGCTCCAACTCCGCTCACGGTGTAACCCTCTTAGGCGCCTTTGGGGACTTGGATGTGAAGGAAGATTGCGTGACCTTCCTTGCCAATGGCGAGAGAGTCTTTGGGCGGAGCGAGCATGGGTCACGGTGCACACCGGAGAAACGGTGCGGTCCGGAGAACGTGGGGCGTGGGTCAAAGCTTAGACTCAGAAAGAACAAGAGAAAGGTCCTGTTTGTGTGCTTCAGCTACAATGAAACCAACAATTAGCTGACTGTTGATAGATCATCTATGTATGATGATGTAAAAGGGAGAGAACGGATAGAAACTATACAGAATTTGAGGTCCTTTCGAAGGTGATCTCCCTGCTTAGGTCTGAGTCGAATGTCCTTTTTGTTTGCTTGCCTGGAGAATCTACCCAGACACTATGTGTATCTATGATGTTTTGCCTACAGCTGGGTGCTCGAAAAAGGCAACTACTCAGGGGGTGTATACCGATATATCTTCCATGATCCCATGAGGTGTTTGGTCTATAGGTGTCGTTGCGCTTGTTTCGCTTCGAGGTCCTTCTGAGCTTGGCACCTGGAACGCACCTTGAAGGAAATCACAGGCACTTCTTGTACAGCGAAACCACGAAGAGCTGGGAGGCGCTCAACAAATCTAATCAAACAGCTCAAGATGGCCTTGGCACGAAACACCAGTTCCAAGGCTGGGCTTTTCCATCTGTTCGTTCCGCACTTCGTATCTAGTAGTCACTGGCCTTTTGTGGCCGTGTGGCCCTGGCCTTTCCTAGTCGGTGGGGAAGGGGAGATGAGAACGACCCCCCACTGTTCGCACTGTTGATGCCCGGTTCCATTCCGATCATTCCTTGCGCACCAGCCAGTGATTTGGGACAGTGTATTGATGGCGTATCAGAGACTGTTCATTGCTTTTCGCTGGAGGAGTTTCTTCCTTTTGAGGATAGGCATGGATAGGCCAAGCAAGCACACGTCGAGTGAGTCATTGAGTGCCTGGGGCGACCACTCCTTGACGTTGCTGAGCCCTTTCCACCTAACCAGTCTACCATTGAAAAATCATGAAAAAACACAATGTCAGTAGGACAGGCATCCAGAGGGCGCAGGTACGACATTTGCGCCAATCTGCCAACAATTGACCTTGACCATATGTGGGCAGTATATATTGAATTATTATGATACACTATATAGCAGCATTGGATTGAAGAAAACACATTTTTTTGTACATCAGCAAAGTCATTTGAAGCATTTGACCCCTTTCGTCATTCAGACATCTCATCCTCACTCGATCTCTCAAGGATCCTCGATCTCGCTTTCCTCCGAGGATCAACACCAACGATTGCTCCGCTCGTGTCAGGACTCGATCGAGGAAATCATGTGCACCGAAAAATCACAGGAAGTCCAGCAGTGGCTAATCGTTAGAGGATCATGTAAATGATTCGAGGACCTGTTCGTAACCAAGATTCATTGTTCGGAAATGCACTCTGCGAACTACTCTCTTTTGTTCTTTTGTTTATCTCTCTCTCTCAAAGACTATATTCCACCCCATCCAGAGGTTCAAGGCTACAGTCTACTTGTCTACTTCTGAGGAGTGGAGTTGAAGCCAGTTGACAAAGACCAAAGAGCAATCCTTCCTAAACCTCCCAGGAATATGGGGCCTCAATTTCCCCTCTACTTGTAGGGAGGATCTTGAAAACAACATGCAAAGGTAAATTGGTACAATTTTGCAAAAGCGAGGAAGATATTGAATCTAAGGAACATAGATTGAAGCAACCGTTGTTTGGTTCTATGGTTCTGGCCATGGATGTTCACGCTTCTTGATCAATTGCCAGGAAAAAGGACCTCATCATTGCCTGGCAATGCGAGGAACCGGAACGAGATGATCGTACCTGGGCCGCTCGAATCGCCCCACCAGGTTCGCCCGGATCGGTTCCATCGCCCCAAAACCCAGCTGCGCGGTTCCAAACCGTTGAAACACCGCGGGTGACGCGGTGGGTTTCGGTGGGTTTCGGCTCCGGACTCGAGTTCGACCAGGTTTTTTGCGGGACCCTGGATGCGGAAGCACCAGGGAGGATCATCGCGGCAGGGCGAGGCGGAACCATGAATATATACTTTTACAGTGGTTTCAGAGGCGAGAAATGGCACTGGCCCTTAAATACTGGCACCGAAAAAAGATGATTAGACAGATGGGGGTTCATCTAAACCACCTTAAACCACAGGCCTTTGTGCCCTCTATTCTCAATCCACGATATAACGAACCAAGGGGTGGTCGACCGATCCCATGGGTGATTCACTTGGTGTTGCGGGGGAGTCATGGTGAGTAGTCCCCATTTCTGGGGAAGTGGCTGTTCCTTATTTTTTGTTGGTTCCTTATAGTGGTTCTCAAATAGATAGAAACGGTTTCGAACACATTTTTAGAGGCGTTTGTCATTTTGGTTCACAGCCTAATTGTTCATGCCTGTCCAAGGAGCTGTAGGCGTAGAACTTGGATCGAGTCCAAGCTCATTGGGAGGATGTGGCCGAGGAATTAATTGATGGGTCATGGTTGCTTTCTTTGTTGGACAACAAGCATTTGCTTACATATTGCGTCAAGAGTGACTTCTAAGGTACCTGCATGCCGATCCTCACGGCGGGCCACTGGGCGAGCTCTCGAGGCATTTTTCGACTTTTGAATGTCCCATTGATTCTTGAAGTGGTCAAAACCCAGTAGAATGATACTACGCATGTGATGTGTATTCCAATATGTCTCCGACATGTGCATCACTGTAAAGACGACCGTCAACACATTCTGATGCCTTTGCAGTAGACCAGGCGAAACATAAGCGGCTTTTGGTGTCTAATATTATTTGCATTTGTTTGACGCTTTCAGATACCTCGATCCTGTTGGACATGTATGGTCAAGCCAGCTGAGGCATAACACACAGCCCACCACCTCAAGTCTCACCGATGTCGAAAGAGGCGACGTTGGTGGGGACTCCATCTTGCGTTGTCAGCTGCTTTCATTCCAGTTCAGACATAACTCATGCGAAACTATGTTTCTCTGCTCATTGCTTGTCTATTTCAGTACCCAGGCCAATGCAACAGCCTGCAACTAATCAATCATGGCACTCGGGCAACAGTGTGAACTTTCTGGAAGGAATGCCACAAATTGTTGGCTCTATTATATAACTGGAGATCGAGGACTGACTGACCAGCTGACTGACTGGAGTCTGTTTGGTGCCTTAAATACTGCAGAAAGGGACAATGCCTGAAAGTTGTGTTTATCAACTGGTTTGATTTGTGAACATGTCCAATTGCCTTTGTACCCCTCCTTTGAAGTTGTAACATGGCAGCCCTGAAAGAAAACAATGGGGCTAGATCACAAAATCCCACCCATGCAGACGATGCAGGTGCATTTTGCATGTGCTGCTTCGGTGAGATGGGCAGCTGAAAA